AAAACATCTGGAGCGATCAGTGATTAACAAGTGATCTTTGCCGCGTTAAGCCTTTGATCTGGAACCGCTACCAATCGAATCTTGGTAACACATCAAGTTGAGATAAAATTATTGAAATTGCATTGGCATTACCAGCGATTGCAGTTAGTGAAGTGCAACTGTTGCAGAACATGATCGGCAACACTTATTAACGCTTTCGGAAGGCTGAAGATGATATGGCCATACGGAATCAGTGCCGCACATCTGAGCAATAATTATCGCTTTGGCTGCTGTCAATGCAATTTGAAAAATGTCGTCAACAACCGAAAGCATTGCACTCCTGATAATACACGCACCTTAAATGCTGCTGACGATAACGATTATCGTCAGTGATTTTTACAAAACTAATTGGAAAATGAAAGGAATAAAATCATAAAAGTGAAACAATAAAAGTAAGATAAAGTAAAGCGAAGCAACGAATAAAAAGAAAACCCAGCTCTGAAATCGAAGCAAGTTGAAAAAGCTCAAGCATTACATTCGATTTTAAGGTTTGCTTAGCGGGTAATTATCATTATTGGTGCGTGCAGCGGTGGGGTTCAATGCAGTAATAGGCCCAACTTGTATGTAATTATGTATGTGCAGGCAAGTGTAGCCAACTAAAGTGACAAAAAAGTAGTAGCAAATCGCAGCAAATGACATTACAATTATTGGTGGCATAAAACTCATAAGAAGAGTACCAACAAAAAACACCTATTGCGTCTGCCATGATGATTATAAAACCACGGTCACCGGCAATTGGTTCCCATGCTTAGGAAACGCATTGACAATGCAATGACGTCGGTGTTGCATGTTGCCAGCAACCAGTTGCGCTCGCTAAGTTTTATTTGACTTTTGAGTTGATATAATTTTGACGTTGACTTTACTTTAGCTTTTCAAGAATTTATGGTTCTTTTTTACCACAAAGGTTCTCCCAACCAAAGGAAAATCATCATTCTATTTATCAGTTATGACAAATCTTTGTGCATGCTTGGCTTCACTTTTTCCTACAAATAACAAAAAAGTTTCTTATTTATACTCCATCTCTTTTATTATTTATAATTTTTACAGTTTTTGTTGACGAATATTTCTTAAGGGTCTTGAAATGTGTTTTTTTTTTGTTAATATAAGTAATTAATTTGTCGCAAAGATGAAGCTTAAAGAGGGTTCAATGGAACGCCCTTCTGAATCCATTTGCTATTAAGCAAACAAGAAGTATGTAGGAAGATTTTATGATTAAATTTAATGTTTATGATTTGTTTGTTAGTAGGGTATAAGGTAATTTGAAACAAACCTGAATATATTTATATTTACCATACATTAAGACCGAAAAGTTTTCGGAAATTCTCATTTAAAATTCGCGCGCTGTATATTTTCCGATATTTTAAGTTTATGTAGTTTGGCAGCACTGTCCTTAATTACTATGCCAAAAATGAGCGCGATCTGTCAGACAGTTCGTTTACGGCAGCTGTTGAAACCAGTTCACCTCAGTAGGGCGTTGCGAAAAAAACAATGGAAAAAAATATTGAACAAAGAGTTTGCATCAAATTTTGTGTTTCGAACGAAATTTCGTGTGCAGAATCGTTGCGAATGCTACAAAAGGCTTATGGGGAATCAGTTTTATCGAAAACTCAAGTTTATGAGTGGTACAAAGCCTTCCAGGACGGTCGTACGACCGTCGAAGACATTTCGCAACGCACTACTGAGGTGAACTGGTTTCAACAGCTGCCGTAAACGAACTGTCTGACAGATCGAGCTCATTTTTGGCATAGTAATTAAGGACAGTGCTGCCAAACTACATAACTTAAAATATCGAAAAATATACAGCGCGCGAATTTTAAATGAGAATTCCAGACTTTCAGTCTTAATGTAATAAAATATATACTAATTTTTAAATAGATATTGAGTAAATTATTATAATATATAATAATTATATAAATATATTATATATTTTATAAAATATTGAAATTTATTAAATAAAATAAATATTTATAAAATATTTTTAAATTTATTTTATATCATCAATAGGTATAATTAATAAATTGATTCTATTGATTATCACCACGATTGATAAATCTGTTGAAACTTTTTCAATCGTGATTTGATTTTAGTGCAATGTCTATTATTCAATTGGTAAATCTCGAGCGAAATGTATAACAGTTGAGATTAATTTATAACACTCTAGATATTTGGCCAGAGTAGCAAGATTACCCTCAAATTAATAGCTGTTTTGTACACTTGACAACGTGTTATTTGATTCTATATATGTATTCTTAAAAACTATAAATATCTAACACTACTACACATATGTAAATAACCCTAAAAATGTTCGGTTGAGCAACAGAATTTAACAGATCGAGAGACATTCTAGATTGAATGCAGATTTTCTAATCGAAATCACCTTTACAGAGTACTAAATAAAATAATATTTAATATGATGATACTTAATATTATTGATTCATTAAGATCATTGTGATCATTAAGACACAATTGAGTTGAGGTTACTTCATTCACAATTTCAACATCTTTTTACACTGAATGGAATAAAACTCAAAAATCATCTGGATGAGACGTGAGGTAAATGATGACCCAGTATATAGAGCATAAATAAAAATAAATAGAGTAATAAGTAACATATAACACCTAGAATAGAAATATGAGAATAGCAATATTAACATGAATAAGGATAGACAGAGGAATACAAATAAAAAAATAATTGGTATAGAAAAGGACCCAGAAATTGTAAAAGCTAAAGGAACGTAAATAGTGATAGGCGTACGA